ACACAGGGAAGTAAATACAGGCTGATAAATCATAATAAACTTGAACAGCTATGATTTAATACAAAGCCTGTTCTTGAGAGAATTAACGCACGCGGAAATATAAGCTGCATTGTTATCGATAGAAGGGAAGCATTCTAAAGCCAGTATAATCTGTTAATCTACTGCAGAGTAGTAGACATTAGTAGTTAGACATGTAGTAGTTTGAGTACGTCCGAGAACAAAAATGTCAATGTTCTGTAAATATTTAATTTTCCAATAACGCTATTAAATCGAGTAAGAGTAAAAATAAGAATTTAGAAAAATCTTTGATATTCACCACGCATATTTTTCTCCAAAAATCGTCAAAATGTTTATTTAAATAAAAGATTGGAATATCGAATGAAACGTAGACAGCTTCTTGTCTGTCGTTTGTTTAATGAAAATTCTAATATCAGGTAAAATGAAACTTCCACCCGAATGTAATTAAAAATTTTAAGTGGAACGAATAAAAGTTTATTTGAGTAACTGTTTGATCGGATAAATATAGGAAATAAATTTCTACAATGTTAAATCTCTGCCTCCCCCTAACCGGATCAGTATAACTCCAGATTTCTGAAAGTAAAGGAAACGAGAAACAGTATACGCTGAAGATGTTTCGATTTCGTCCAACGACTTAAGATCTCGATACGCGTATCGGATCCCTCTCGAGATTCTAGGGTAAGAGTCGAAGAAGCCTCGAATTGTCAAGCTTCTTTTCTCAGTTTCGCTAACTGTTCTCGAGGAGATTATTTCGTCGAGTACGTTAAAGCAGTATCAAATATCGAGTGGCTGAATCTTCGTAGTTAACCGGTTCTGAACAGAATTTACTGATACGATACACCTACGATACACCTCTATATTTGGGTTACTACATCTGTAACTATTATTATCTTAAATAGAAACGTAACGAACCCTCCTCCATGTTTTAATGTTTCAATCAAATTTCAAATTAAAAATGACCAACAGTAAGACGGTCTCAAGACAGAAAATAACGCGCGCCCGAATAGAAGAATACAAACCGATGTCACGTAGCAATAAAATGTTTCAATAATTTAATGCATGGCAAGCTTTCACAGAAATGTAAAAAAAGAAACGTAAAAAGGTATTCAGCTGAGCGCGAAGTCTCGAGCAAGGGAGTAGTCGCGACGAAGAATTTAGAATCTTGGCACTGAGAGGGTTAAAAGCATACTTAACCCCGAGGACATAACGTTGTAAAACGGAACGATCGACGTGCGAAACGGTAACCCGGTTCCCTGCGTGGTGGAGTGGTATCGCTCGATACGCCTGAACTTGTTTACAATGCATCAGTTTTACGATCGGGGTTGCATTACCGCCGCGGACCATTCCCCCTAATGAACGTTGCGCACTTTTATCATACGCCATTTGTCAAATCACACTGCCCGGCACCCCGCAGCCTCGACCCTCTCGGAAGCCGCCCGCCCAGGCAATTTGTTTTCATTTCTGCTAACGATTCCCTCGTTTCCCACCCACCCACGGCCCACTTTCCATGCAAGCACGGTGTGTACGAATCCTACGAAAAGAGTACCTGGCCGAGCTCCTTTCCGAACGATCGATCTTGCTAACGTTGCGTCTTCCTGCTGATTGTGAGGGCATTTTGCACCGAACGTTACGCTGGGGATTTATGACACCTAACGCTCGTCGGTTTCTCACTGTTTTTAATGGATATCGATGGCCAACTTACTTGGATTGCTAACTGTTTGAAGAAAAAGAAGCTCGAGGCTCGAGATCAGGACTCTGGAGTTTTGGCACGCCTTACAGTTTAGTTTCATCCTATGCAGGGTGTTCCAAAAATGTTGGAAGTCGTTGAAAGGAGTGGTTCGGGAGGTGATTTGAAACAACTTTTTCCTTAGCGAAAATGTTGTCCGAGGCTTCGTTGAGGAGATATTAGCGGAAAACACTGACCAATCAGAGCGCGAGCGCTAAGCGGCCGACCAATCAGAGCGCGAGTATCACGGTGAGCGGCCGCGGTAGCGTAGGCTACGCGCTAGGTGGCCGCTCTCGTACGCTACCACGGCCGCTCCACCGGCATACTCGCGCTCCGATTGGTCGGCCGCCTAGCGCGTAGCCTACGCTACCGCGGCCGCTCACCGTGATACTCGCGCTCTGATTGGTCAATGTTTTCCGTTAATATCTTCTAATTAAACTCTCGTTAAACATTGCACTGACGAAAGAATGAGAAAACAAAACTAAAGTGTGCGTGAGTATACGTTGACTTGTTAAACCGGAATGGTGGCTCTGCGCATGCGCCGCGAGCGCCGCCGGTGCGCGTTCCGAAAACGGCCGAAAACTCATCAGCTGTACGAGAGCGCCCGCTGTCGATCGATTAACCGATCGATGCGGGGCTGGCAGCCTCAAGGCGCCTCGGTTCGATGGGCCGATTCGCAAACGGTATTTGTAAAAGAATTATGAAAAATGATAGAATATTGTAATTGTTATTTCTACATTGTGAAGAATTTAACTTGAAGGCGACCAAATAAGGAGTGCAAAGTCGAGAATAAAGGAGACAAAATGCACTAAAGAGATTCAAACGATTACATTTCTTCAAAGAAAAATCTAAATGTTATTTTATTGTCTCATAAACCTTCTGGAATATTAAAATATCCAGTTGAATACTATTATCCTGGCAAATACATGTAATACATGTAATTAAATATAATACGTGTAATTAAATTGTTAACTATATTCTATCAAACGCAATAAAAATACAAGTGAACGATGTCCGTATAATAAAATTGAATTATAATTAAATATAACGCATTCATAATAGACCTAGATTACCTACAAAATCGTTATTCTATCATAATTTTATTTTATTATACATATCTCGCCTACAAACATTTTCATTATTTATTTTACCAACTCGACGAAGTTTCTCAATTTCGATATATCATCCTTTCGAGTTAGCAGAGCCGTAGAAAAGATAAATGAATGTATTACTGGGAAAGGAAGAGATCAATTTTTCCAAGACTTCAAAATTTCACAGCGTTTGTTCCGTCGTAGGTAGGAGTGGCTCAAATAATTCCAGCAGCTGGAAGCAGTTCGGTGTCAGGGCGGGAAATAGACGGTGGAACGTGTAATATTATTGCTCCGAAGCAAATCACGACGCCATGCCAGGCGACGAAACGACGTATCGTTATTCCACTCCTAATGCAGCTAGCATACGATGCATCTGACGCAATGCAGTCGTATGTAGGTACAGTATGTACATACATAGATACGTGCAGCACATTGTTTTCAGATTTCCTCCTTCCTGACTATTCTCGACTCCGCTTCGTCTTATCCGCTTCGAAGTTTACTGCACGCTCAGTTTCTTTTTCTGCCCCCGATTTTCTCGCGACGTTTGCGTTTCGTGTTTGCCTTCGATATTATTTCAATGCGTAGCTATTGACACCAGTTGCGCACACCTTTCAACGAGGTAAATAAATTCCATGAAAATCGGAGGTCTTAGCACTGTTAAAAGTACTCTCTTTGTAGAATTCGATGTAAACTGATTACATCAGAAGTTTTAATATAGTTAACAGTTTAATTACACGTATTGTAAGTCTGTAAAATTATGAGAAGTTGAAAAAATTCTATTAGAGGTAGATTGTCTTAATTGATATTTGCTAGGATAATAGTATTCTGCATATTTTAATATTCTAGATGGTTCGCGAGGCAATAAAGTAACATTTAGATTTTTCTTTAAACAAATGTAATCGTTTGAATCTCTTTAGTGCATTTTGCAAATTATATTTAAATTGTAGGTCCGATTCGCAGTCTCCTTTATCCTCGACTTTTCCACTCTTTATTTGGTCCCCTTCAAGTTAAATTCTTCACAATGTAGAAATAACAATCGCAATATTTATAGTTAATGTACTTTCTTTTCTTGTAATAAATCATATCATACTTGTTACTTTTACATCGATATTTTTCATCATACCAGAATAATCTTTAATTAAAAAGGGGAATACTCCGTAGATGCGTATGCATGTCTTATTTTAGTATTTCATTTCATTTCGCTTGATATTCGTTACCACATGTATTCTGCTGGGGAAGCTTCTTACGCTCTTAATTGCCATTTCTCTGAAGTGGATATTGTTATTCCACTGATAATTGATCCTACAATTAGAGTCGCTCGATGTATTGTACAGTCCGACTCGGAATTATGGACACGAATGTAATCGACACAGAAATATTGAGCTCATTTCGTGCATGCACCTTTATTATGCCGAGGTGCAGAAATACTCGACAAATACTTGACCGAGGTCACAAAATATACGACATATTGCTTTATACAGTTAATTGGTTTCCCGTAGCATTTTATGAAAGTTTAAAATGTTGGAATTCTAAGTCTATTATTCTAAGTTGGATAAGAATGTTTCCATAGTCCAATCTGAAGCGATCATGCTACAAACGAAAATGTTAGAATTAACCGTTCCTATGGACAGTCGAGCCAGAGTCCATTAATTGGCCAGTAAGACGAACACGGGACGATCGAGTACGCATTCCCAGCACGGTATGGGCCGCGTTACATTCAATCTATGTAGTACGCTCCGAATTGCTATTCGCAAACAACGCACGGTTTCTGCATACATGCATCGAATGTGCGTTTAATTACGATCGTCTGTGTACACGAAACCGAATGAAGTCGAGGGAGAAGCTTCGCGCTCGGTCGCGTCGTCCCGTCATCGAGACTCCATTAATTGGATTCGAGTAATTCGATTACATAAGAAAGACGCCTGAATACCCGCAAATTCCTCTTATGAAGCTTCATACTCTTCGCCGTAACGTCGAAAGAGAGCAAAAATTAATAGAAACAGAAGCTGAGGCGCCACAGTCCACCGTTGGCTACGATAAAAGCAAAATATTGATGAAACCGTATTCGTAAAATAGAGAAAACATTACACACGTTCTAGGCTCTTTCGCGTTTAGTTAGAGATTCGGTGGAGCAGACAGTAGTCATGCAATTTTTTAGGACTTACCCTAGGCGCTTTGCGTTTGACATTCTCGACGCATGGAAATCCACCGCACTGAAACAGAAGCAATGACAAGTTGTTAATATATTCAGAATGAATAAAATTAAAAATATTAGGTTTTTTGTCTATTCTCCGTTAGAAATTTAGATTTCGTCTCGTTTTAAAGAGTATCCCGCTCTAAAAACTAACCAATTTATATCAGTACTCCTTTCATTTAAAAAATTCGAGCAAAATTGATTAACTTGCTAATGAATTATTTTTAACATATCTTCGATTAAAACGACTTGAACTATAACGAAACGAAACAAAGATTAACATCAAAGATCAACGAACAAAAATTTCACGAATCAATTAGAAACAGAAGTTGGAAATTACTTTATAATCCACACATTATACCTGTAATTAATCGTAGCTTGGAATTTTTTTAACCTACTCCATCAGTCTTTAGATTCATATTTACAATCTCCGATCTAAAAATTGATCTCCTCTGGTAAATTTGTATCGTTACGATAATTTTAGTCACAAAGGAAATTCAAAATGCGTCTTTCAGTATACGCACAGAGTTTCTTTACGTAAATGTGGAAACAACATTTTACAGGATGCTGGGGCATTTATCCGTCAACGATATTCCTCCCCATGAAAAAAGATCCTCGGACGATCTCTCACGCTCCGCATCTCGAGTCGAGGGATATCTTCAAAGAGCTTACAATGCGATTTTGGCGAATCCTTTTTCACCCCGACCGTTTTCGTTCCTCCGCGTTATCGTCGTATACGTGACCGCCATGTCATATTTCTTTGTGCGCGCGATAAGACAAGTTCCACCCCTTTCGGGGGTGAATCGTCGCGTCGTGAAAATACGCCATGGAAGGTCTGACGTCTCCGTCAATTAATAATTAACCGTTTTCATGCATCGGAAACCGCGGTCGTGATTTACCTACGTCGCGAGTCGTTTAGCAGCGATTTATGCGTTGATAATTTAACAGATTGCTTTTTAATTACACAGAGACCGTGCGGTATTGTTATTGTTAAAGGAAAATGCTTCGATGCACGAATGCCGCGTCTATTTTTCTGAAGAATGAGTGGCTTGAGCATTGCTCCACTCGAGATAAAAATATTCAAAGACGAATTATTACTTCGAGTGTACAGATTACTTTCGGTGACTAGTTTCTAAAAAATAGATTGTCGACATTAGTGTTATTTTCACTGCAACATTAATAGTGTCCAATACTGATCTAATTCCCATAAAACCTTACAATTTAAGTAAATATTCGAAATGGTTCGCTTCTCCCTACATACATAATTTCATAATTTCAGAACGAATTAAAGCCTGTTGAAATATTGCAACCGTAAACGATAGATATTTTCCTCCAGTAAAAAAAGGGCATAAAAAGTCTCGAGATTACGATCTCGTATAGCAGCTGTGTTAGCTGCTGTTACTGGGATATGCGTTAACGTTTATCGAAGAATCGCACGCGTTTGTACGAGCCAACTATGCTTTATGAATCGGGATTACGACAGTAGTCGTTGGCACACTCATTTTGATTTCTCCTGGAATATGTATGTAGACATGCAGATATTGTGACACTCGGTAAAACGACCCCATAAAAAGCACGTTGACGCACGAACGTTCTCGTTTTCGCGACAATAGAAATCAACGGCAAACATCCAATCGCGCGTAGCCGATCTTATTACACGTCCTAGCTAATCCTCTTAATTTTAATCCACTTTGCGACAGAAATGATTTCTTCGTAGCCTAGAGCACTTCAATAGACTCGAAATAAAGATTCCAACGGTGTCGCGAGAACGGGCCTCGTTAACGCTCATTTTCGTCGATTAGTATACGGACCTTCGGGCAATTTCTACGCACGCTATTCATCAGTCGTGTTTAATCCAGCGTTCGACTCGCTCGTGGAAATCTGCCAAAATTCGGGTCGCTTGGGTCTCGGACGCGCTGAATTTTCAAACCGTGAGGGACAAACAAAATTTGGCGCAGCTGCTGGAAGAGGATTTTCGAAATCCATCCCCCCGAAAATAAACGAACAGTCGAACGATTTTTCCGATTCAACCGAACCGCTCGAATAAAAATGAAAGTTTCCGATAACTCGATGACGGCGTTACTTCGAATAATCCTTTTTCGAAAAGTTCGAATTTTCGCCAAGGATTACGGTTTCAGAATCCTGTTACTCGGCTCTTGGCCGCCGTCATTCGCGCAACACTTTCTTCGACGCTTTCGAGCCGGGCGAGCCTCTTTTCAAAGCGAATATGATTTTATGCCGCGTGGATGCGCCATAGAATTTTTGATAGGCTTATCGCTACAGTACCGGGTTTACAGCGGCTATTGTAACGCTCGCCTTTGTAACGGCGAGGTCTTTACGTCGGCCGTGACTATAAAGTGTAACTATTTTTGTAACGGGTGGGTAATGGAAAAGGAGATGCTGAAAGTGTACAGTGGGACGCGAAAGTCTGTAACGAGAACGTTTTTATTTTACGTAGGAATAGGAAATTAAAATGCTCCTCGTAAAGTAACAGTTCTCGATAACGGCAACCTTTCGCGAATTCAAAGGAATCTTTAGATATTTAGTAATTTTTCTTTAGTAATTTTTTCGACGAAATATAATAACTTGTACAAGAGTGTAACTTTTAATTGTACATTTTTCTTCGAACATTCTACGATAATCAATTGAACAATAGAACAACGATGCAGTACAAGTTGGACGATATACAAACTTCTGCGCGCGAAAGCGAAACGTGACTTTGTAAACAGACTCTCCTTAGGAATGTTTAGACACTTGACTGGAAATCGGATGTAAACATGCTACGTGTTTAACCACTTACACCGCCGCACCCGAGTTAACTAGGACAAACATAATCGCCAGAGAAACGAGTGAGACCATGTTCAGCGAATAGAATAACAGGTGGAATATGAATTGTCGATCTGAAATGTTTAAATATATTTTTCGTAACATTTAAATATAGAAAAAGTGAAACGAAACAAATGTTAGGTCTTCGGAATCAGTCACTGAAAAGTGCTTGAATGAGTGGCTGAGACCGTTCCGGTTTATGAAACGGAGCAACCAGGATACTTCAACTGAATCGCGTATTTGGAATCGCAGAAGGGTCGTGGTTTATAAGGGTGTTTAATATTTGTGGTTTATGGGCCGCCAGTCGTTGAATATGACGCTTGGAATTGCGAGGCCTCGAATTGCTCTGCAATCTCGCCGTTCCCATTATTAAGTTTGCGTTTCAATGGTGGATGCATGGATAAACTATGTATACATGGCGACATCTTTTCATTTTCTTTTCATTGTATTTTTTTTTCTATTATTCATTCGCTTATATATACCTTCTTAATTCTAATTAAAATTGCTTTGGAATCGGTTTCCTTTCTCTGTAGGATCTTAACAATTATAGAAGAAAAAAAGAACAAACAATATATCCGAGAATCGCTGAAATTTCTAATAAACGTATAGATACACGCGGTACACATGTAATAATAATTCGACGCTCAAAGTCGCCATAAAATTGTCATCCGAGGGTACAACTTTTTTCCCCGGTTCACGAAGATGTTTCGTGCGAAGTTACATGAATCATGTAGCCGGTTCTCGTACCCTCGGGTAGAGAAATGTTCTCCTCAGAAAGAACCGTCGTGTTCTTCTGGAATCATGAATATCTCGAAGACCGCATCGTGTTCGTAGAAATTTATGGCTCGTGCGGGTACTTGGTATTTATGGTTTGTTGTCGGCGTGGCCGGGGCGCGCGGTGAAATTCTTCGGATTGAAAAATAGACAGGGTAAAAAATATATTCGGGAAGAGCCGACGGCGTCGCTAATTAAATTTCAAAACTCGCGAAATTCCCTTATGACAGAGAATTTTTTCGTAACTTCGGGTTAGCGCCGGCGTGTCGCTCATTGAAGTTCGCGTAGCTCGCGAAACTTTTCTCAATTTGCATTCGAATCTTTCGTGCGGCGCACGAATTGAAAAACAACGGTCTCCGAGAAGTAAAGTCCCAAGAAAACGTATTTCTACGACTTCGTTCGGATTCCCTGGCTCGGGAAACCACTTTAGAAGGCATTTGTTCTTTTTCCAGTCGAGGAAATTCTTGTACTTCTGTTCTTTCACTGAATGAGCGCGTTAGATATTATTCATTTCAAATGGTGTGTACGGCTCGACTACCCCTCAATGATGACTTCGTTCTATGTAGACCGATTTATTGACAGTTATATTAACATTTATTAACAGTATGTCGTATCTTCTATTGTAAACGACGAAACATGTATTTTCTTCTTGATATTTTATATACATAGTTTCGTTTACTTCTAATGATAATCAAACCCACCGTGTCAACTATAACGAAAGAAGTTTCGCCATCCAGTGTTGTTACTTATAGACAAATATGGTAAATATCAACTCCGTTGGGAACTTGATAATTCATCGTAATGTTTAAAATAAAGATGGTTAATTAGCGACGTACACATTGCATTCGTTGTATCAAAAAATCCAAAAGGAATTCATTTGAAGGCGTTAGACTATCGTATCGGACTTGAACGGCTAAATTCATTTTAATCGGAGGAGAATCCTTTCTCGTCGAATAAATTCTTTTCGCACTTTCCAAAAGGTACAAGACCCTCGCTATTTCACTCCAACTACCACGATGGCTAATCGTCAACCTTCCATGCCATTTGTTTACGTCGATAGCAACAGAAACGAAGTAAAATCGTCCACGTTGGACGATTCGAGGAACGGGAATCGGAGGGTTAAAGCAACGAACAAACAAGCGATGGATGCTGGGTGCGGGAGGAAGGGCAGGTGACTCGATAAACGGAATCGCGCGGAAAGGTATAAAGGACAAGGGTGAAAGAAAGAAATAGCATCTCGACTGCTCCCGGTGGCGATAGTAGACGAAGACGTATCGATTATCTCGCTCGACTTTGCGCAAACGAGACCGCAGCGGCGCGAAAGTACGATCGAAGATAAAGCCACGTTTCTCCCTTCCCTTCGCGGCAGAAGGAGAAGGACGAAAGTGGCATGGTAGGGGGAAGGGGGTTGGTTAAAGT